TGCTGATCATCAACACTGTCGCAATGAACGTTTCTAAATCCGCAACATTCCAGTATCGCGGGGATAATCACTAGAAATGGCATCACACATTGTACCAATGTGGGGAATCGAACCCTTGAACTGCTAGGCTACCCCACCGCAACTGAGCAATATCAACAACAGAAATACAGATGGGATCAGTAGTCTGTTCTGTAATGTTGTGAGTAGCAGGAGGTTTTTTGTTTGTTTGAATTAAGTTTAACGCCGCACTAAGCAATATTATAGATATATGATGCTGGTCTGTAAATAATTAAGTCTGAACCAGACAATTCAATGATTGACATCATGAACATCGATCCACGCAACTGGGATACGATGACCTGCATCAACCAAGTCAGCGAGCCTGACCACCCGATCCCCATAGTCGCCTCTTACAACAAGCATGATCACCTCTTATGGCAAGCATGGGTTGCCGGAGACCTATTCTAGCCCTTATCATTACGTATATAGCAGTAGTATTAATTTTAGGATCAAAATTGTTTTGGTTGTTTTTGTGTTTAAAAAATATTGCGTTGAGCAATATTCCAGCTATATGAAAGCGGCCTGTAAATAATCGCATCTGAAACAGGCAAAGTAGTGACTGATAGTGTGAGCAACGTCCCACAACATTCACTGTTGAGTCGCCTCTAAAGACACTATTACTGGGGAACCATCATAAAATGTGCTAACTAAAACACTTTTGTCAACAGCTGTAAAAAACAAGAGCCATCAAAAGAAGACACATCGCCCCGGCCCCCACAATAGCAAAAGGCACCACCACAGTGAGTGAGTGAGTGAGTTGGGTTTAACGCAGCTTTTAACAGTATTACAGTCATATTACGGCGTGTCAGCTTAATGTGGGAGGAAAGCCCGAAGTGATGCAGGTCTCAGACGTTTACCACTTTGGTGAAACCCACGAGCACGGGTATGGTGCTGACAAACCTAGTAACATAATCGGGGCGAACCGGGATTCGAACCCACAATCATAGGTTTCTGGCGTGCCCAAGAGACGCAACTCTGCACAGCGAATCGCGGCGCCTTGGGCGACCGGGCCACCCGTGCCCCCAACCACCACAGTGCCTGGTTTATACTTGTACCAAGTGGGAATGAAAAGTCTTTCATGGTTTTCAGGTTATGCTCCAGAAACGAAATATGGACGGACGGGCAGACAGACCAGATGAGGACTGTATCCCCTACTGCGTGTCAGCTTAAGGTGGGAGGTTAGCGCGAAGTGAGCCAGATCTTTTATGCTCACCACTTCGGTGAGTGAGTGAGCGAGTATGGTTTTACGCCGCATTTAGCAATACTCTCGCAATATCACGACGGGGGACACCAGAAATGGGCTTCACACATTGTACCCATGAAAGGAATTGAACCCGGGTCTTCGGCGTGACGAGCGAACGATTTAACCACCAGGCTACCCAACCGCCTCACCACTTAGGGTGCTGCCAAACCTAGAAACATAAACAGGGCGACATTCCCTTGAATGCATTTACACATTTCTGACAGAAAAGTCAGAAATACGGGACTCCGGACCAACGGTGCTCACTGTAAACAGGTAACTTTAATCTGTTCAAAATACGGTTAAAACAAAACATTTGACCTCTGGACTTGGGTATGTTCAGAACGTTCTTCTGGGTGCAGATTCAGGCTCGTCAATTTCAAAGCGTTTTGGAAGCCTAACGTTATGATAAAAATGTCTTGAATGAGAAACGTTAAAAGCCTATAGTTCAGCATAGCATATATTATAAGTTTTCGAGTAAATATTGTCTACCAGGTGTATTTATCCAGCTGTCTTTAACCATCATCGTTATCAAGGAATGAGTAATGTGATAAACACCACAAACTTCATCCCAGAGAGTAAATGTTGCATCACGCCACCATCAGCAATATTAAGGTTATTGCAAGATGACCAGTAAATGATCGAGTTCGGTCCAGCTGAACCACTGTTCACAGGGATAGGAAAGGTGACGTCACGTTCAATAGTGACGTCATCTGGTTTGTTCTATGACGTTTCCATATTTGTAAAAGTTGGTCAGTGAAATTCGTGTTGATTGCGCTAAATATTTCAAAACTGACAGTTTTTATTTGATTACAAATTCTATCCATTTTAGCTATAATAACGGTAACGCTATTTTTCAGGGCATTATCATTTGCAGAAGCCCTCGGTCTTTACAACCGCCCTCCTTCGTCGGGCAGTTAATGGAAGACCTCGGGCTTCTGCAAATGATAATGCCCTGAAAAATAGCGTTACCCATATATTATAGCTGAAATGGATAGAATTATCATTAAACCGTCCGCATGTTATCAAAAATGAGCGGGCCACTGTAACTTTATAATGCCCTCATAGTGCTTGACGACGGGCCGTTATCACGCCCGTTGTTACGTGACGTCATAGGATAGGGATAGATGACGTCACGTTCTATAGTGACGTCATCTGGTTTGTTCTATGACGTTTCCATATTTGTAAAAGCGTGTCGGTGACATTCGTGTTGATTGCAGTAAATGTTTCAAAACCGATATTGTTGTTTCTTTTTATTTGATAACAAATTCCATCCATTTTAGCTTCGTCGGACAGTTAATGGAACACCTCGGGCTTCTGCAAATGATAATGCCCTGAAAAATAGCGTTACCCTTATACGATAGCATGCAGAATGCCTAAACACATTAGAGAAGCTCCGATACCAATTTTGTCGGCTCTTACGACAAATATCGGATTGTGGATGATTACTCTGCCCGGAATAATAATTGTAATGGGGTGTGTAATTTGATTGCAGCTAATTTTTCGTTTGTAGTTAATCCTCATGGACTAACATCTAGTATCTGAAATGAACATACAAACAACCTTGTTAAATTATCTTCATAAAATATAATGAAAAGGAGCCTAGAGACTCTCATCTTCCCGAGGCAAGGGCGTTAAATGACTGTAAAAATCTGGACTGTTATAGTCAGTTAACTGCCTTGCCTCGGGAAGATGAGAGAATCCCTTCAATTTCAGACCTGAAACTGCAGTAATCTAGACTTGCCCACTATTATAGACTTGCATGGGCTGTATTGTATATATTTGTTTCAGGGTCTGTATGACCGACCAGACATCATCATTATGTTCATCCTGCTGGTTAAAGCGTTCGCTCGTCTCACCCTAGGTCCGGGTTCGATTCCCCTCAAGGGTACAATGTTAAAGCCATTTCCGGTGTCCCGATGTGATTTTGCTGGAATATTGCTGAGGGCGGCATATTCTCTTGTCACTAAGTCGCGTGACAGTGGGTGAGTGTCGTTTTCTACCCCAGATACCAATATTTCAACAACATCACGGCTGCCTCAACAAAATCCAAACTGCACCAAGATGACCAGTGGTTGATAGCATGAACACCGATCCACGCCATCAGGGTATGACAACATGCAAGCTTTTTTTCTGTTTAACCGACCAATCCGACCAATCCGACCAATCCGACCAATCCGACCAGCCACCGTTTGGACCAACATGAACCCGTTTCGCATGGCACCCTGATTCTGATTGGCTGAAGTTATGATTGACAGCTAGCACGTGCTGGAAGGCCCGCCCCTCGAGAGGACCTACCCTCTTGGGAGGCTGTGTTACAGACAGAGAGGCCCGTGAAGATCCGGGGTAGAATAGGTCTTCAGCAACCCATGCTTGCCGTAAAAAGGCGACTATGCTTGTCGTAAGAGGTGACTAACGGGATCAGGTGGTCAGGCTCGCTGACTTGGTTGAAGCATGTCATCGTATCCCAATTGCGTGGATAGATGCTCATGATGTCAATCACTGGATTGTCTGATCCAGACTTGATTATTTACAGACTGTGGTCATATGGCTGAAATATTTCTGAGTGCGGCGTTAAACAAGAAACAAACAAGACAGACAGACAGGCTGAAAGTAAGTGACTGAGTCACTGAGCACACAACAGCTGGGCCAAGTGGGTGGTGACTTGAAGGCATTTTGTATTGTCACACAAAAAGTAAACGGGTATGCACGTGTTCTTTAAAACGTTTCTACATCAACGTTAACACAGGGGGATTAAAATTTACAGCTAGAAATATCACACGTACCCTATAAACGTAGACGGTAGACCGCGGGTGTCCAAATGCCTCTCACGGTACAGAAGGTAATATAAATGTTTAAGACCTGGACTCGATGCCTGCATGGGGAGATTTATGAGAACACAATTAAGGCTTATGCAATCTTGCACTTTTACTCATAAGCTCCAGATGGTGGAATTGTTTTTCAGACGCCGATGCGAGAAGCGGATCGTATTCAACCAGACAGACGTTGAATGGATCTTTTACGTAAATTTTTATCACTTCGCGTGACAATCACTGTGACAATATTGATTCTTCTTACATTTGTTTATGTTTTCTAATAGAATTTATAAATATTACAATTTTTAGAGTTGAATATGCTTAAGGTTGAGTTCCACAGTATATTGATTATACAATGGTATACAACATTGGTAATAGACGTAATTGGTAATAAGCTGTTTATCTCATGTTGAGTTCAGACGTTAATTGACATAATCACATATATGTCAACAAATAGCGTTTTTTCTCTAACAGCTCATGAATAAAAAAGTAAATATTTATTTGCGTTACTATCAATCAACCATTTGTTATTTCGGTCAAGGAGCTGTTAATGAGATACTGTAACGTCATATCAGCATATCTCTACACTAGTCATTGTCAATGCAGTGTTTACATATGCGACAGAAAAACTTTGCAACCAAGCGTACAGCTGTACAGACCTTTCTATTACAAAATCCATTCCTGTTCTTTGGCATTAATTGAGTATGAAAAAAACGTCAACATTATTCAGACATCCGCAGGCTCCAAGCCAACAGTCGATGAGGTGAGTTGAGTACACGACGTGTAATCACCGCTCCTGTCTAAAGACCACATGGTTAAATGTAAACGTTTGCACGAGACGGTTGTTACGAGATGGAGGAGGGATATGTTAAGAAATAACCTACCTTTCGCCGCATGCACAGTCTGTATTATAAAGGCCAGTAATACTGTTACAAGTCCACTCGAAAACAATCCTTGTCTATCCATCGTAGATCGTGTCCGAACTTTACAATCACTGTATACCATTTTGTCTTCATTCTGCCATCATCCAAACTACACGTCTGCCACTCGTGGGGCGGGCCTTCCAGCACGTGCTAGCTGTCAATCATAACTTCAGCCAATCAGAATCTGTGTTCAAAGCGAAACGGGTAAACGAGATATTCTCGCCCCTCCTTCAGCTAGGCGAGTATGTGTTGCTTCTAGTTCAAGAATATCGGCGCTGTGCTAAAAATAACCCTCTCGTCTCGTTCTGTTGTTGCGAAGGATCAGATATCGGACATGTGTAGGAGAAGCGTTCTCGATGGGCTCTCCGTCTCATCTGCTAGCCGCACACGCTGGTTTCTGAGATTCGTAGTGACATTACTAATGAGAGCGCACAGACACGCGCATCTTGAGCCGAACAGATGATTGTTTATGTTTAACCGTTTCTTCTTCTCACTTTCCAGAAGAATTTGACCGTTCCATACTTTTCTTTTCGGCCTGATGACAGTTTGTCTCAGTTTTCTGTAATTTAAAGATGTAACCTCAAGCGAAGAGTATGTTAGTTGTTTTTTCTCCCTTTTTTGCCTCTCAAATAGAAAATCCATATATATAGCTAGAAAATCATTCATCACTTCGTGATGAATATACATTGAGTGACACAATGTCGTCTATTTATGACGTTGACCATATCTTGGAAACGTATACCAATAAAGGGAACAAGTTGACATTTGTCAAGATATCAATAACTCACCACTGACAACACTTGCTCCGTAATTGATTCTAAATCACGAAACATGAAACAGATGGCCATGTAAATACAAAGAACTGACACAAAAATGGCACATCCAAATATCTTAAGTTTAGAATTACTAAAACTTGATTTCTTTAAAATAATGTTTTTGTATGGAATGCTTTTCGTCAATTTATTAATATCAAACAATTTAAGGTAAAACAAAAGGTTCAGAAACTTGTCTCCTACTTTAGTTGAGAAACCAAAAATCAGTTTTGCCTTAAACCGAATAACGGATTGCTATCTTCAGAGATTTCGACGAGGCATTGTTTGAACTAAAAACTGGCACATGTGGACATGTTTTCAATTGTAACGGTCATTCCGGCCACGCTGGTCAAGTGGTCCGGTGTCTCGTCGTCTTCATAGTTCAATTACACGCAGTTGTAAAAGCATGGAAATTGAAATGGCGACCTTAGACCTTTCCTCATTTATTTTGCCTTCCCCGAACACATTAAAAGTGACACTCAAAGCCTTCACGTGATGCTTGAAAAGCTGGTTCCATATGTGAACATGTTTTCATAAACTCCTCTCCGTATCCAAGGCGCTTGGTGTATGACGGTCGGAGCTCAACATCCAAGAGGCGAGAAATATGGCGACGCATGCCAATGTAAAAGTAATAAACGTATTTGTTGAACTACCTAATGATATATTACTGATACATTATGAAGTATTTGTTGTAGTACTCGGTATTATAGTACTGATAAAAGGTTAGTATGTAAAGTAGTACTCTTATCATATAGCACTGATAAAGCACCAAGTGATGCTTGTAGAACTCGTGATTATAGTACTGATAAAAGGTTATGTATTTGCTGTAGTACTCGTAAATATATGGTACTGATAAAAGGTTAAGTAACTTATTGTGACAGTACTCGTGATTATAGTACTGATAAAGTTTCAAGTATTGAATGTAGTACTTGTGATTACAGTACTGTAGAATGTGTGGTAATACTCGCGAAAATAGTACTGATAAACGTGCGTGCGTGCGTATATATATGTGTGTGTGTGTTTGTGTGTGTGTGTGTGTGTGTGTGTGTGTGTGTGTGTGTGTGTGTGTGTGTGTGGCTGTTGGTACTATTCCAGGTTTCATAGCCGATGTTCACTGAAATACCATGCCGCAGTTTAACATGAATACCCCACTCAGACACAGTATACTGACTCCGAGCAGACCAGTCCTTGTTTTAGCCCCTTAATACCGAGCGCCAGGCAGGGTAACAAAAAGTACGATCTTTTAACGTCTTTTTGATATGATAATGATGAAGATGACGGTGAGTAGTCAAGGTCAAGGTAAGAAGAGGAAGATGATGTTTGTTTGTTTGTTGTTTAACGCCGCACTCAGCAATATTCCAGCTATATGACGGCGGTCTATAAATAATCGAGTCTGAACAATCCAGTGATTGACATCAAGAGCATCGATCCACGCAAATGGGATACGATGACATGCATCAACCAAGTCAGTGAGCCTGACCACCTGATCCCGTTAGTTGCCTCTTACGACAAGCATGGGTTGCTGAAGACCAAGTCTAACCCATATCTTCGTTGGGGATAATGCACGGTAGTAGATGTAGTTGCAGTCATGTAGCAGTACTAGTAGTAGTAGTAGTAGTAGTAGTAGTAGTAGTAGTAGTAGTAGTAGCACGTGTAGTAGCAGCATCCTCCAGTATCCGGGGTATTATATCTCCATTCTATTACAATAAACACCCTGGACCCATTCAACACTATATATAGTTTCGTTTCTGAATTGACGTCACCCTCTCGCTCGCTCTTATCACAAACGCAGAACAGTGTTTCGCTCATTGTTCGAATTGTGGTCAAAACAGAACTGTGGTAGCGAACCGGTCGAGTGTATTTGTCATATTAGACCCGAGATGTAGTTCCTTGGATAATCGAGGATGTAACAACAGCAGTGGTGCCGATGATCGTTGATGCTATCAAAGTCAAACTGTTTCTCCTCCTTTACTTGTTCATACACCTTCCCAAACTGTCTTCACAAAACTGTCGAAAATGCGACGTGCAACCCTGAAGACCAAGATAACTTGAACGGAACAAAAACTTCATCGGAAGAGGCAGAGAAAAATATTTTGAGAATATAATAAATATTTTAAGAATATGCAAATTTATTCTTCCTCAATTCTCCGTCTCGTCTGGTCAATACAACGTAGCAAGATTGGTAAAAGAAAATCTATTCTATCGCTTTCTGATTGGTTCTACATAAATGTATATACCTAGTAAGCTGGATGATGACCCCAACACCACCACATGTACCAACCATTTAGTGTCTAATGCGTGGTTTCTGGCAACCATACTTATTAAAATGGAGATTACCGAGATATTAGAATTTCCCTACTTCAGCTCTCAATGCATTGCAGTCAGCACCGTAATCTCCGAGTGCGGCTCGAGGAGGAATCGGCAAGTCCAAATGCTGGTTTATCGTGATATTATTCCTCGCGCTGTTGATATAACTGATGCACTGTGTTTTGCTTCAATCTCCCAAGCCTTATGGTAATTCATATGTTTGAAAAGATAATTGGGCTGGCAAAATTGGCAATAGGAGTTTCCGAGCGTTGGGGAGACGCCAAAGACACGCATGGATCGATCCTGCATATCTGTGCGGGATTTGGAATATAGAATATTGCTTTGCACTTCGCGGTTGGTGAGATTGGCTGTTGAGAGAGAGAGAGAGAGAGATAGAGAGATAAATATATATATATATAACGGTACAGAGAGAGTGCGATGGTGGAGACAGCGACACAGATAGAGAGAGAGAGAGAGATAACAGTACAGAGAGAGTGCGATGGTGGAGACAGCGACACAGATAGAGAGAGAGAGAGAGATAACGGTACAGAGAGAGTGCGATGGTGGAGACAGTGACACAGATAGAGAGAGAGAGAGAGATAACAGTACAGAGAGAGTGCGATGGTGGAGACAGCGACACAGATAGAGAGAGAGAGAGAGATAACGGTACAGAGAGAGTGCGATGGTGGAGACAGTGACACAGATAGAGAGAGAGAGAGAGATAACAGTACAGAGAGAGTACGATGGTGGAGACAGTGACACAGATAGAGAGAGAGAGATAACGGTACAGAGAGAGTGCGATGGTGGAGACAGCGACACAGATAGAGAGAGAGAGAGATAACGGTACAGAGAGAGTGCGATGGTGGAGACAGTGACACAGATAAAGAGAGAGAGAGATAACGGTACAGAGAGAGTGCGATGGTGGAGACAGTGACACAGATAAAGAGAGAGAGAGAGATAACAGTACAGAGAGAGTGCGATGGTGGAGACAGTGACACAGATAAAGAGAGAGAGAGAGAGAGAGAGATAACGGTACAGAGAGAGTGCGATGGTGGAGACAGCGACACAGATAAAGAGAGAGAGAGAGAGAGAGAGATAACGGTACAGAGAGAGTGCGATGGTGGAGACAGCGACACAGATAAAGAGAGAGAGAGAGAGAGAGAGAGATAACGGTACAGAGAGAGTGCGATGGTGGAGACAGTGACACAGATAAAGAGAGAGATAACGGTACAGAGTGCGATGGTGGAGACAATGACACAGATAAAGAAAGAGAGAGAGAGAGAGATATAGATAAATATATATATATATATAACGGTACAGAGAGAGTGCGATGGTGGAGACAGTGACACAGATAGAGAGAGAGATAACGGTACAGAGAGAGTGCGATGGTGGAGACAGTGACACAGATAGAGAGAGAGATAACGGTACAGAGTGCGATGGTGGAGACAATGACACAGATAAAGAGAGAGAGAGAGAGAGATAACGGTACAGAGAGAGTGCGATGGTGGAGACAGCGACACAGATAAAGAGAGAGAGAGATAACGGTACAGAGTGCGATGGTGGAGACAATGACACAGATAAAGAGAGAGAGATAACGGTACAGAGAGAGTGCGATGGTGGAGACAGCGACACAGATAAAGAGAGAGAGAGATAACGGTACAGAGTGCGATGGTGGAGACAATGACACAGATAAAGAAAGAGAGAGAGAGAGAGAGAAGTGGGTGAGTGAGAGTTAGAGGAAAAGATACAGACCCAGTGAGAGAAAAGAGAGAATAGTAGCAACGTTATACTGATAGATGTATCGGCAACATCGCTTATGGTCGTATCTGCAACAGCAATGGCCTCACTGTTGTAACTAGCAATGGACAGCATACAGTAACAGCAGCATAATAACGAATAGTAGCAACACAAATGAAACACAAATATCTTCTGCAAACCAGGAAACAATTGAAAGACAATTTACCAAAACTATTGTTTAACTATTTTTATTCATACATTTGATGTGAGCCTATGGACAAAAAAAACAGCGTTGTTGGTTAATTGCTAAAACACCCGAAACATTGCGATGGTGCTTCCACAACCGGAACAGCAGAATATGCCATTGCACTAACATAGTGCCGGTAACCCTTGCAATCTGGTGGGTGGAATGCCAGACCCCGATAATCTGTACATCGTCACATCCATCAGTCGTATTGTCATCTCCAGTGTTAAACATTGTCTCTATATATCACCTTGTCTCAAGGTTTTGTGGGATAATTTCCTGTATACGAAGGATCAAATTAGTGGACTAATTGCGTTTCATATTGACAGCGAACTACACATGACGCTTCAGGGGGGAAAACATAGTCCTATGAGTTTGATAATCCCTTATAGAACGTAGCCATATTCTTGGAGATTGGAGTTTTGATGAGGATATATAAATATGTTTGGAGGGGCTGCAAAACACCGCCGAGTCTCCTTCTGTATGTGTGTGGAGGCTGCTGGGGTTTATTTCTACACGTACGCAGTGAGTGAGTGAGTATGGTTTTACGTCGCTTTAAGCAATATTCCAGCAATATCACGACGGGGGACACCAGAAATGGGCTTCACTCATTGTACCCATGTGGGGGATCGAACCCGGGTTTTCGGCGTGACGAGCGAACGCTTTAACCACCAGGCTACCCCACAGCCCCCTACACGTACGGATGTTGATCAAAGTAGAAACGTCAGCCTTCTATGTAGATGGTTTGGGTTAATATTTAAGAAATAAACGACGAGGTGGAGTTGTTGTTTCGTACAATAGACCACTGCAGGGAGAATAAACCCCGAGGGGCGCATGTCGGCGGTCTGGAAATATTCAAGTCTGGAACACATAATCGAGTGACTGACATCATGAGCACCGATCTACGCAATTGGGATACGATGACGTGCATCAACCAGGTCAGCGAGCCTGATCCCGTTGATCGCCTCTTACGACAAGCATTGTTCTCTGAAAACCAATTTTCACCCGGATCTTCACTGGTCCACCTCATCTTCAGTTCGTGGCCTTCACCTCGACGTATAACACCATCTACTCACTCACTCACTCTTGCCCGGCGGGACTCAAGGTTAACTTTACTGGTGCTAGTTCGTCCTGGATCAAGTTGATGATTGTGTGAACGCTTCTCCATTCCTTTATCCAATGGGCCGTCACCGTCTCGACTCTGTCCAGCACCGACAGGAATCCATATTGGGACATGTTATCGTATCCCAATTGCGTGGATCGATGCTCATGATGTCAATCACTGGATTGTCTGGTCCAGACTCGATTCAGTGTATTTATTTATGTAATGTATATAATTATATATGTAATGTAAGAACAGAAAGGTGGTTGCGAGATCAATATTGTTCAGATTAGCGTTTGTTTGTTTGTTTCTTGTTTAACGGCGGACTGTAAATAATCGAGCATCGTTCTACGCAATTTGGATACGATGACTTGCATCATCCAAGTCAGCGAGCCTGACCACCCGATCCATTTGGTCGCCTCTTACGACAAGCATAGTCGCCTTTACCGGCAAGCATGGGTTGAGACCTATTGAGATTAGTGAAATTTGAGACGTTTTCGATAAATTTCAGCAAAGAACTGACATTGCAATATACTGTTGCAGCACAAAATGTTCCTATGCGATGAAATAATTAACATAGCTTACTAGTCTAGTAATAGTTCCATGCTTGTATTTCATCATGAAATACTTTGCCCAAACAGAGAGCGAATACATAAAGATTTTTGTCTCCAAAACAAAAGTCTCCAAAAACGGTTGGGATGCACTTTTTATATAAGTTACTTGATAAGATTTGAACAACTATGGTCTGTCTACATGATTTTTAGATAAATCTACTGTAGAGGTTGACAATGTTTCAATGCATTGTATCCAAGTGATCCCTCACTTCATCCAACCCAAGTGAGGTGTTATGGAGATGGTAACAGCTTGTTGGGCCGTTAAAATGGCAATTTAATCCCCACAAAATAAATGAGGTCACTTTGTAATGTAATAACAGCAGATAACAATAGATAACGTCAGTTAGACGCCTTACAGATATGTATTACGAAATTTGTCACACATTAATTCACATTTGGTACACTCGTGACATATTTACCATTATCACCTCTTTGGCTGTTTGCACACCACATCCTACACCACACCCTTCCAGGTCACAGATTCAAATGTGACTTAAAATAACATTCATTCACTTCTCATATTACAATTATTACCTTCAATACATAACGTAAAGTTAAGTTCTGGGCTTTATTTTGTTTAACGCCCCACTAAGTAATATTCCAGCTATATACAGACCATCGTCATACAGCTGGAATATTGCTGAGAAACAACAAATAAACAAACAAACAAACATAGTGTCCTTGGGCCAATTCGAACCCCGATATCCCCACACAGGGTACGATCCCAATTGCGTGGATCGATGCTCATGACATCAATCACTGGATTGTCTGGTCTAGTGACTCGATTATTTACAGACCGCCGTCACGTAGCTGGAATATTGCTGAGTGCGGCGTTAAACAACAAACCAACTAACCAACCAACCCACAGAGGTTTATGCTAAGTGCAATCGAACTATTACGTTTACTATCAAACGCTCTCAGAAAGTATTTGTAAAATAATGTAGGATATAAACAATTCATAATTAAAACAAACAAAAAACAAGCAAAGGTACCTTTGTTTCGTTCACATATTTTTTCCATCAACGACTTTGTGCTTTAGGTTCTTAAAACAGATCAAAGAAACTACATGTTTAAAGGGCTTTCATGAACGCGTTTTAATGCATTTCAATCACACAGCGGCTAAAGCATACGGCGATAAGTGTATATCAGTAAACACATATTGTTTCGATGACTATTTATAAACCCGTTCCATACCGTCAACAAATGCATCAAGTCAAAACAATGGCCGTTGTAGACACAGCGTCCTTGTTTTAAACGAATTACGCCCACCTGTTTCCAGTTAAGCAAGGTCAAGGGCGGTCACATGAGAGGAAGTGTCTATTTCGGATAATTGCCGTCGAACACTTAACAAACTAACCTTAAGTAAATATCCGAACCTTGTTTCCCCGGGGTTAATAGCAAAGTGCATTGGAATTCACGCATACCATTTTCCCTTAACGCAAATACGGGTGACAGATTTCACAAGTTAAGACAAAACATGTCCTGTTTGCCAGTAAATTATATTTTTTAGAGAGTCATATATATAGTCAACTTTAGTAATTCCGAATATGATAGTTATACAACACCATGATTTTTTGGTGTCAGTCTTTAAATTAATTTATGATGTAGATCGAGTCGCTTTGCTTCGGAAATGAATTTTTAATAAACATAACTAAAGAAAGAATAAGCTGACATGTTTGTTTTTTATGAATATGCAGTGGTAGTAGTATTAATTGTATTACATCGGGGCATACATTTCCACAGCGGCGGGGACAATTGAGACACGAAAACGTTTTGTGACAGATACAACATTGTCCATATTTATTTTATTCACCTTCAGTATCTGCTTTTAAGTGTTCAACTTTAAACATAAATCATTAGTTAAGATAGATTAAATGTAGTTATTGTGTCCTTCATGTTGTAAGCCTTAACAAACCCAAGCCATGACATGCTCAACTGATTGGCCAAGCTAACCCTCAAAGTTGACCCATTGTCTCACTGCATGTTCTCAGTCTGCACACATTTCCTGCACAGACAAGTTGACAGGTGAAATCATCTAAAATCAGGTTAGTTTAATATGTATGTGTATACTTGTCTTGTTGTTATTGCAGTTAAATGTTGCAGTATATTAAACCTATAAAACTTAACTAAACGTGTTTAATATTATCATATTCTCAGTTACAATCTATTTAAGTAAATGTGGTAAATAAGAATTATAAATTGTAAGCTTTGGTAATTACTAATATATCACTTTTCTGTCTCTTTATTGTTGTATGTATGAGGAAGAGTGTATGTGTTGTTTTATGGAATAGGCTATGTTTTAAATGCTTTTGTGATCAGTTCTGTATAATATACAGTCTGTACTATGCGGGATCCGGAGAAATATTTTAACATGTATATAAATAGTTGTATTAGTCATTGTTATAAAAGTATATGTTTTATTCAGATATCCGGCATTACAAGTTGCGGCGCTAGTCGGGAAGACACTCCAGTCTCACCCACAGGGTAGGCACATAATAACTTGTGTAGTCAGTTTCTACATTTGTGTAACACATAAGTGTGTCACACCCGTAAAGTCATATATATGTATGTATTTTGAAAGAGATTTGTAATCGCTTTACACTTAGATAATATAATATATGAATAATTATTCTATTTGGTTCTTACATCAGTTAGCAGATCATTGTACAGTGTAACAACTAATATATGAATAAGATGTGTTTGTAATGTAAAATGGTTTGTAATACTGGGATGTCGATGATTGCATTATGTATATTGTTAATATTACTTATCATTCCTTTAATATGTTTCAGGGTGTAGATACAAGATACTACATATTAGATAGATAAATATGTGACAGATCCATTGGCGAAATAAACGTCTCTCACCCGTAGCGTGTGTTTGGCTATCACATCATTCACTGCCCTGCCACATGTTTATGAAGTCAGGATTGGCGGGAGACAATAAAGTGCAGACTGCCTTTATACGCACAGATGAAGATTCACAAGGAAATAACTGTTGACACGGGATGGAGTAATCGGATGCTGCCTTAACAGCTCTGTTGCGGTAAGGCTGATTAATTACTTTTGTTTGTTTATTTGCTTACGTCACAATCAGCAATATTCCATCTATAAATAGCGGCTGTGTTTAAATGCAGTAAATCATGAAATTAATGCGTCACCAAATTAATGCGAGTTTCGACCCCTGGCCTAGAATGTGTCATGTAATTACTTCAAGTAGCCTTGCCTTTGAACTATAAAAACTCATCTTCGAGAAGACTCCATGGTACAGTATGGGTAGTTCACACACACATATTATACCTTTCACTGCTTTGCACGTGATGGCACTTCCATGAAATCAAAAGCAGGAAATTCCAAACAAAACATATTTAAATGGGTCACAGATATTTGTTTGTTTGTTTGCAACCCATGCTTCTCGTAAGAGGCGACTAACGGGATCGGAAGGTAAAGCTCGCTGACTTGGTTGATGGACGTCATCGATGCTCATTATGTCAACCACTGGATTGTCTGGTTCAGACATTGTCTGGTCCAGACACGATTATTTACAGACCGCCGTCATATAGCTGGAATATTGCTGAGTGTGGCGTTAAACAACAAACCAACCAACCCTGTGACCACTGGGGATTCTTGGTTAGAATATAGATCTCCAGCAACCTATGCTGGTCGTGAGAGGCGACTTAGTGGATCGGGTACCGGTGGTCAGGCTCGCTGACTTGGTCGATAGATGTCATCGTATCCCAATTGCGTGGAATCATGCTCATGATGTCAGTCACTGGATTATTTACAGACCGCCGTCATTTAAGCTGGCTGGTTATGTAGTTCTGAGTGCGGAATTGAATATCAAACAAATGTTGCATGTCTTATCCAGTAATAATGAGTGAGTGAGTGAGTTGGGTTTAACGCCGCTTTTAACAGTATTCCAGTTATATCGCGGCGTGTCAGCTTAATGTGGGAGGAAAGCCCGAAGTGATGCAGGTCTCAGACGTTTACCACTTCGGTGAAACCCACGAGCACGGGTATGGTGCTGACAATCCTAGAAACATAATCGGGTCGAACTGGGATTCGAACCCACAATCATAGGTTTCTGGCGTGCCCAAAGGACGCAACTCTGCACTGCGAATCGTGGCGCCTTAGACGACTGGGCCACCCGTACCCCCTATCCAGTAACAAAACAGCAGCCATGCAATATACTCTCCAAAACGGTAGGTCAAGAAATGTAAATGTTATGATTATTTGTCAGAAGAAATATCAACTTTGAAAAATGAACCAAAACCTAACGCCCAAACACACCCGAAACATTGCACGAGGACCATGCAGTTCCTCTGCCCACGTGATGAGGTCATTTTTAAAATATTTTGACAAGGTCGTCAAACCGCTGAGCCATTAGTATAGCTGATTTTCATTATCAAAAGTAACAGGTAAGCTCTCTACTTTTGCTTTAATGCAGTCTCTGAGATCAGATTGGGAATGCTTCGTCTACAACGTGATGAACGCCGGTGCTATCGGCATGCTTCAAACTGATAGAACTCAGCGAAAAGTAGCCAATATGTTCAGTGTTTGTGATTGCAGACTTGGGAACAGGTTTCTGGAGACAAAAAATGTTAATTGTCGGCCCCGCACGGGACGCCCTAGGTCAACGACAGAAATCCAGGATCGATTATTCAGAAACCAGGCTTTCAGAAATCGAGCCCAAAAAGCCAATCACATCGCTGTTCACTCGCGCCAGGCATCTTGAGTGAAATTGTGTGCAAGCAGCTTATCTGCAAGCATATTTGTCGACCACGTATTGTATCACCGTCGACACATTCTAACCAGACGTCAATGGTGTTTAGAGCGTAGAAACTGGGGAAATCGCCGATTGTCTCGTGTTATGTTTTCAGATGAGTTCAAATTCTCTCTTGGAAAGGCGTGTACGTGTCGGGAGGCGTCCGAACAAACGTCAATACAAGGCCATACGACAGATTTTGTGGTGGGTCGACCTATTATGATATTGGGTGAGATCACTGTCACTGCCAGAACGCCACCGCATATTGTCCCTCGAAGGGTCACTGGGCAGTACTACCGAGACAACATACTAGCGTCAATAGTTGTAAATGTATACGTAGGAGAAGTGTGAGAGCCATGAATTTATTAACATACATTATTGCCTAATATATCAAAACCATACCTTTTGTTTATTTGTAATTTAACGCCGTACTCAGCAATAATTCAGCTATATGACGGCGGTCTATAAATAATCGAGTCTGAACCAGACAATCCGGTGATTGACATCATGAACATCGATCCAAGCAATTGGGAATCGATGACATGCAGCGAGCCTGACCACCCGATCCCGTTAGTCGCCTCTTGAAACAAGCATAGTCGCCTTTTACGGCAAGCATTGGTTGCTGATGACATGTTCTACCCCGGATCTTCACGGGGCCAATACCGTACCTAATCCCACGGAAAACAAAACTCACAAACATTATAAAACAAATCCAGAGATTTCTGAAATTGGTTTTGGTCAACTTTGAAATGTAAGTGTGTACTTTTTAAAAAAAGAAATGTAACTCCAAAAAAGAGGAAGAGGTAACTTGATCAAGGGAGTGTTTGGATGAATGTTGTGTTACGTCGTAGTGATTACTGCAGCTTTAGCACAACTCTCTGTATATACGAGGGCTTGACGAAAAGTGTTAAGCCTAACAACAAACAAAACCAACAATTGTGAAAGTGTTTGTAATTTTATTTGTAACACAATCTCCCTGCTTTTCAATACACTTCTCATATCGATAGTGAACATTTTCAATTCCATTCAGGAAGAAGTTTTCTAGAGCAACCCTTGAAAGACACATTCAATTCAGATTTGAGGTCATCGTTGTTGTCATAGTGCTTTCCATGAAGGTGTTCTTTCAATTTAGGAAACAGGTGGAAATCACTTGATGCCAGGTCTGGCGAGTATGGAGGGCGAGGAAGCTCTTCGAACCCACGTTGTCGCACAGCAGCCTTTGCAAGTCGAGAGGTGTGAGAAGAGGCATTGTCATGAAAAAGTACACCTCCAGCAGTTAGCATTCCTCGCTGCTTTTGTTTGATAGAATCGCTCAGGCGATAAAGCAAATCAGCATGGTAGGCACCGGTAATCATCTTTTGACTTTCTAAGTAATCAACAAGGATCACGCCCTTTGCATCCCAGAATACAGTGGCCATAACTTCCTTCACTGATCTTGAAGACTTGAATTTCTCTGCTGCCGGAGAAGTGGAATAGTGCCATTCCATTGATTGACGTTTTGACTCGGGATCATAGTGGTAGACCCGTGTTTCATCACCCGTTACTAATCTCAGTTAGCTCTGACAATGGTATTCATTCATTTTATTTTCAATACATATAGGCCACAGGCCTTTGTGTACAAAAGGTGAATACAGGCAGGTTTTAAGCTTTCAGTTTCGCATTTCTTACTTCATTTGCATAATATAGATATTTTGCTACATTTGTAATAATATATGTATCTGGTGATGACAGAAGCATATTAAATTTATGAACGTTAGGGTGACAATAGAACTTTGCTTTGAGATATAGTTGCCGTAACTTGACATACGATGGACAAATAAGCAGGAAGTGGTACTCAGTTTCAACACAGTCTAATTTACAAAGTTTGCATTTTCTTAAATTTCTTGGGATTTTATAATGACGTCCATTCTCAATTTCCAAAGTATGACAACTCAGTCAGTCTTGATTGACGTTTTGACTCGGGATAATAGTGGTAGACCCATGTTTCATCACCCGTTACTAATCTCAGTTAGCTCTGGCAATGCCAGTTCTTATTTCCTAAAGATCAGAATATAGAAAATTTGGCACCCAACGAGCAGATATCTTTTTCAATGTTCATGAATAATATATATAGTTTCTATGGATCTATGGTTTAGACCTGTGTCTTCCTCAAGTTCAGGAATGGTAAAACGTCTATCTGACAGTATAAGTGTTTCTGTCTCCTTGACTGAATCTTCATTGATGGAAGTTGAGAGACGTCCAGACCCAGGGTCATCAACAAGGCTTGACCTCCCAGCCTTAAACATAGCTGTCAAATGTTTAACAGCGAAATAGCTAGGGCACTTATCCCCATACACTTGTGACATGTGGTCATGAATTTCTTGGGGAGTACTTTTCTTTAGTCAAAATCTTGACGACTGCTCGTTACTCGTTCTTTTCCATTTCTGTGTCCATATTGACCCCTATCACGTTCAACTGGTTGTTGCCTAAATACAAACGGCCCCAACAGACCAGATACACTTGCAATGAACTACTCAAACAATGTACTACATTGACTAGGTCACTTTATGACGCACAGTTAAAAGTTAGTCAGGCTTAAAAAATTTTGACCAGCCCTCGTATCAAAACAAATGTGAGATGAAATGGGTTTTAACATCGCGGTCAAGATTATTGGTTTTATATGGAGGCGTGCATGCATGTGTGTGGCTGCTTGTACTAATCCGGACTACCGCCGGTTTAATAGCACTAGCCCACTGGGATACCATGCCACAGTTTAACATGAATACCTCCCTCAGTGTACTGACTCCGAGCCGACCAGTCCTTGCTTCATCCCCATAATGCCGACAGCCAGGCAGGGTAACATGTGCATGTTCGACCACTTGGTCCCAGGTTTAGTATGGGGTTAATACAGAACAAACGTGATTCGTTGAAAATATTGTTTATTACAAATATCTGCCGACAAGCAGACGAGGCTCGGTGAGAATGAGAGCACGTCGCGCACCAACAGGAGACGGGGTGGGCAGTAGAATAGAAAGTGAGGGAAGGTGTCAAAAGCTTTCACGTCATTTCAGAGGAACGTCAATTAATCCCCTAACGATAATAAATCTACAAACCCGTTTCAAAAGTTTACTTTGTATTGGCAGAATGTGGTCTTTCAAAATGAAGCTCCAGCTTTTGATATACACATACATCTTCGTTTTCTTTTTTATGCACACAATACACCTACATTAACTATATAAGATCAAACAGAAATGTCACACGTTCTTAGGCAACACAATAAGAGTAAGTGAGGGAGTCTTGTTCTATGCTGCTGTGGGCTTTGGTTCTATCAGGCGCGTCAGCTTGAGGTGGGGGAATAACCCGAAGTGATGCAGGTCTTACACATTTACAACTTTGGGGAAACCCACAAGGACGAGACTCTGTGGCAAACCAAGATCCACAATAATGTCGAAGCAGGGTTCGAACCCACGATCATAGGTTTCTGGCACGCTTTGGAGACGCAACTCTGCACAGCGAATTGCGGCGCTGTTCATAACTGGGCCAAACGTGTCTAACAAGTTGTAGAAGAACATCAATACAAAAACTTCATAACAGAATTTTACCAAAAGGGTTTGGTTGAAATTTAATTGATCTATGAGCTCAGACAAGATTAAAACATTTCGACCACACCATTTGTATTCAACAAAAGAATTAAAGAGGAGGTATATAAATGTCCTTTCGGCATCCAGGGTGTTAAACAAGATATTCCACAAAAGTATCTTATTGAACATAACTATCTGCATGAGTACATAGCAAGACCTCGCCCAGTTGGGATACCTGCATTAACATGATATTAAACTGGTAGATGATTCTTTAACTACATCTAGACAAATCGTTAGTTAGCACTGCCAAAGGAGGGAAGTAAAAAAGGACCAACACATTTTGTCAAAAACGTCCCATTTCCTTGTCAACCAGATATATGTATCCTTGCCAAATACCCAAATACAATATCGCCAAATGATGACGTATTAAGGAAACAGTTACGTGTTGAAATGAAATACAGTATCATTGAACAGAATTAACAGCCTGGCCAGACAGCCCCCGGAGACATCTCCGTACAAACATAGTATCATTCTCGATGACCCTATCCTTTCTCTGACAATACAGATGTTAGGTAAAACTGATACATTTTATTTCTCCACTCTCTCATAACGATTTCAAAGTGACACCGCAAGATGTTATTATTATTTTTTAAATCATATTTCTAGCCCATGAGGCCACGCTATATTTTCCCTTTTAATCGGTAACACTATGAATGGCATGGCGTGTGCAATAAATCGAAACTGGTAAAAAAAATAGAGGATTCCTATACGAGACTTAAGTGAAACTTGGGGGAAGATTAGGTGCTGGTGGGTCATTACAAACAAGAATGCATTTGTTAACACCATAATATGAATGTTTTAATGATGAAATGTTAACCATACACTGATATAACGTACATATGATAGTAATTTTGATTGAAGAGATAGTTGCAGAGTTAACACATGCAAGAGTTAAACTGTATATTGCAGAACATTGGTGGGTTTGATGAAGACGTATTTCTTACCTTAATTATTTGTTTTGATTTTCTTGCTAATTTTTTTTAATTATTATTTTTAGCAGGGTTGAGATTGAAAACATTTTGGTGTTAAAATCTGCCTCTCTGTAGATCAGTGTATGCATTGTTGTGAGAATTAAGTCAAAGGAGTGTGCTGAAAACAATTTCAGCTCTCATAAATAAATCTCGGGATTTAATAATGGTGAACAAGTAATATTTTTCAGAGCCTATTTCTTCTGTTTTAATCTTACACTTATTTTTCTTGATTTTTTTTCAAACATTTTAGTCACCTTCACCTTTACACATTCAAAACACTAGTTCTTGACACCTTTGACCTGTTTTCCTGATTCCTGGCATTCTCAAAGTCATTATTATAGGTCCTGACTGTTTGCCAAGTGCTCCCTGTGATGAGTGAGTGAGTATGGTTTTACGCCGCTTTTAGCAATATTCCAGCAATATCACGGCTGGGGACACCACAAATGGGCTTCAGACATTGTACCCATGTCAGGAATCGAACCCAGGTCTTCAGCATGACAAGCAAACGCTTTAACCACTAGGCTACCCGACCACCCCTGCAACACATTTAGAAGACAGTGACAAAGATATGACCTGAACATCTATCCATACTTTCCTTGGGCATCGGTGTAATTCATCATTCCCTTCAGACCGCAACACATTAAAATAAGAATGTATTTCTTTAATGAAACCTTATTACAACATCCATCTTAGAATTATAAACTGACAAACACATCACTGTCTAATTCAATCGTACAATGTGACCTTTGTCCTCCTACCATCAATTATTCGTTGGAGAAGAAATACGCAATTTCACGGAACCTCCACATGTCTTACAGACCCTGGAACAAATATATCCAATACAGTCCATGCAAGTCTATAATTGTGGGCAAGTCTAGATTACTGCAATTGAAGAGAGTCTCTGGACTCTTTTTTATTATATCTATTACGATGATATAACAACTGTTTTTTGTGTAAAACATGTTCATTTCAGAGACTAAATGGTAGTCTAATCCGACCACTGACACCCCACATCTATTCTATAAACATAATATATGTATAATGAATATAACGTTTGCATAAAACCCAACACTTTTCACATAAACTATGAGACGTAATAACAGGACATTCAGTCAAATATCACCTATGATATAATCAAGTGACTACAGTCCACTAATACCACTCAGATCTGTGCACAGATACAATCACAGTGTCTTACGGTCAATAAACTTCACTTATGTTTTACCATCAATCTGTTATCAAATAAACATGACAGCAGTCAGCAATATTTCAATGGAGGCCTGAGGCAGACAAAGTAGTGATTGATATTATGAGCATTACACAACACCAAACCAATCAAGTCATCAAGCCTGTCCACTGTAATCTGTAAATATTTCATTTAACCCGCATACTTTAACCACCCAATCCTCATTTAAGATTGCACTTTTACTTCCAACCTCGGTACTGAGGAACCAAGTGATAACTATTGGCAAACAGAAACAGAAAACACATCCAAGCTGCCACCCTACTTCTTATTCCAGGACAACAGTAAGAGTGTTCTGTTGTGGTCTGACGTATTCTGTTATGGTCTGTCGTGTTCTGTCGGGCTCTGTAGCATTCTGTTGTGTCCTGTCATGTTCTGTCGAATCATGTTGTCATGTTCTGTCGTATCTTGTCATGTTCTGTCATGTTCTGTCGTATCATGTCGTGTTCTGTCATGTTTGTTGTCATGTTCTGTAGTGTTCTGTAATGTTGTCATGTTCTGTAGTGTTATGTCGTATCATGTTGTGTTCTGTCATGTTCTGCAGTGTTCTGTCATGTCATGTTCTGTAGTGTTCTGTCATATCATGTTGTGTTTTGTCATGCTCTGTCGCGCTCTGTCGT